GGGATGAAGTCAGTGACAATCTCCCCCGGGAGCCGAACTGTCCCCTGCCCCACAGCTGGATGCAGACGTGCGTGTGCCCAGCCCAGCCGTGGCCTCACCCCCCCCATGCCCACAAAGCAAATCCTAATTTTGTGCCAATTTGCCAGCAAGGGAGGAAAAACCCTGCAGGAGCTGCGGGTGACCCCGAGGTGCCTGGTTATCCACGACACAGCTCCTCCTCCGAACAGCGCTGTGATGAAACCATCTTCCTTGTACCGCCTGGGGACAGCTTTACTTTCTTCATCCAAATAAAAGGGCTGTTTATAAACCCAGCCCTGCGTGGGCTCACGCTGGAGCGTGAGCGTCGGCTTCCGCTGGCACGTGTCCATCCCCGCATCCCCGGCTCATCCCTGCCCAGGTGAGATCACCCCCGAGCTCCTGTGTGCTGCCAGGGATGAGTTTCGTGGTAGCAGAGCTCATGGCCACAGGGTTTGGGTTTTGCTGGCAGGATCTGGCCCTCTGCTTGGGGGGTCACTTTGTTAAGGAACCTGTTACGGGACCCATCGGTGCAAATCCCCGTGCCCGTCCATAGCTGCCCCTTGCCGGTGGGTCAGCCAGCAAGGCTCTGACATCGGGAAATGGGCATGATCTCAGCCCCGGGGCATCCCTCCTGGTGGGAACAGCACCCGAAAGGAGATCGCAGAGCCCTGGGAAGCCGTCGTCCAAGGGGAAGCCGTGCTGCAGTGCTGGCAGGGGAGGGTTAATGCGCTTACACCCAGAAATTGATGTCAAGAGACTTCCCCTTGTGATTAAAACGCAGGATAGTGCTGCACATTCACCAGCCCTGATTTCAAATGACCCTTATTGCTTCTCCCCACGACCCGTGAGCAGTGCATTACGCCTGGCTCCAGTTCTTCCAACTACTTAATAATGCAGGAGCAATGCCTGTGCATCCCTCTCCAGCAACTCGCAGTCCTCAGTCTACCGCTCTATTCAAGTATTGTGAAACACGTTACCAACGGCTGCCATAAAAATAGAGGCTTTATCGGGGAGGAGAAGGGGAAACGCGCTGGGTTTTGCAGCCGGCGCAGGCGTGGAGAGAGCGGGTAGCTCCTGCTCCGCGGTGGCCGAGGGGACCCCCATCGCCCAGCCAGCTGTGGTCCTCCATCCAGCCGGGAATGATGTAAGAACCCTCTCCAGTTTGGGAGCACCTCCCTCGTCATCTCCGGGAGGGTTTTAACTTTACAGTCTCCTTGGAGACAGTTAAGCAAGTTTCGGATGTTTTCTGGTGCTAAAGCAGAGGGGCCTGGGAGCTGAAGATGCACAGGGAGGTCTGTGAGTTAATATTTTTTCCTGCCCTTATTCCACTTCCTTGCAGCCAGGCTGAAGCTAATCCAGAGCACGATCTGAGAGCGTTTGGCCACAGTTATTTCCGGTTTTATTTTGTTGCCTTTTTCCTGTTCCACTAAAAGACGAGCCAGAATTAATTTGCTCCTAATCTGGGAAAGCAGCCGGCGGGGCTGACCTCCGCCGCGTCCTTCCCCCCCGAGCCCAGCCGGGGTGTGGGGACCGTCCCGCCGGGTGCTGGCAGCAAGCAGGGCTTTCGGCAGATCCTCCCTGCCCTTCCTGCCGGGCTGCCGGCTTTGGCAAACCTGCCCCAGCCCGCTCGCTTGGCTGCCTACGCCCCGGCCGGGCTTCCAGCGCGGCTCGGCCATGTGGGCTGTGTTTGTACACAGATGAGTAATAGAGTCGCCCGGAGCCAGCGCCGGCGATAACGCAGCATCCGACCCAGCCCCACTCTCAGGAGCAGCGCCGTAAGTACCGGCTGCTCTGCTTTTTCCCCCTGAATCATTTCAGCTTGCTGCTTTTCACGCTGCCCGGGGGATGCCGAGGGTTTGCACGGCATGAGCTCGCCTGCGGGTCCGCGCCGGGAGGCTGGGAGTTTTTCACACGCGCCATGAAAAGATGAAGGTGGGAAAGAGCTGTGTGCGATGGGGACGGTGCGGTGGGGCCGGCAGTACGTTGCTTTTCCCTGCCCTCCTGTGGCACCAGCAGCTCGTGGCTGCGCTGGGCGTTTGCAGAATTTATGGAAGTTTCACTCGGCAGTGTTTTAGGAGCGGGACGGGGCGCTGAGACGCAGCCGTCCCCCAGGGAGAACAGATGAAAGCACTGGGTCTGGCAAAGAGCTCAAGCACGTGCCTGAAATGCACTGATTTCGGAAAGCCTTAAGCTTATGTCTATGCTCGGAGCTGCCTGCTCATCTCAGATCCCGAGCAGATACCAGCAGCCACCCGCAGCAATAACAGCCTCCTACAAAGCCTCTGTTGTTCTGCTGGAAAAGGTCTTGGCATGTCCCATGCTGCTGACTCCGGTGCCGAGCACTCAAAGGAGCCCAGCCACTAGTTTTACAGTTCAACTTGTCTCTCTCCTTGTGCCGCCCTAAGAAAGTCATAAAAGTTAATAATTAACAGCTAAAATATTTTTCCCTCCATTGAAAGACACTGGCTGCCGGCTGGGACTGGCGGGGAGAGCCGTGCCGGGGGAGAGCTGCTGCAGCCACGCTCCACGCTTGCTGGAGCCAAGTCCGGACATGTGGTGGAGGGATGGTGACAGGGGACATGTCAGGGCTCCTCTCGCCAGAGACAAGCCACAGCCTTTAAGGGTGAAAGCCAGTGCCAGGCAGGAACCTTCCCTGGGTGAACTCGGCACAAACCAAAGGCTCCTGCGGTGGACCTGCAGCCTGCGGTGCCTGATGTCCCCATGGGGCTTCATGTGTGGCCACACACACGGGGGTGAGGAGGAGGAACATGAGGAAGAGGAGGAGGAAAAGGTGTGTTTGCAGCCAGCTGGGTGAGCCTGCGGAGTTTGTAACCTGCTGTTCGCAAAGGAGCCGTTTGCCGAGGTCACGGCTGCGATGGGCGCCCATCCCTCGCCCCACGCCGCTGCCATGGGAGCACTGCTCCCCGCGTGGAAAAAGTCAGCCGAAGGAGGAGAAAAACATGGGACTGCAGGGTGTGCCCGGCTGCTGCTGCGCCCCGCAGCTCCGGTGACTCATTTTGCTCTTAAAAATACAAGTTCTTCACTAAGCCCGGGCCCAGTGCTTCCCACGTTCTTCCACAGAGGCAGCCCAGCGCGGGGTGCGCGCAGGGGACCAGCTCCCTGCTTTAGCCACGGTTCCGGTCCGGTGCTTCCCACGTTCTTGAGGCAGCCCAGCGCGGGGTGCGCGCAGGGGACCAGCTCCCTGCTTTAGCCAGGTTTGCCTGGGTTGCACCAGCCCGCACCCAGCTCGGGGCTTCCGTCCAAGGGCTCTTTGCAAATCAGGGCTCCCGCACCCCGCGGCGTGCCTTTGTGAAGAGCTTGTGCGGCTTCCTCAGCTTCACCGAGATAAGGGACATTATTTTTGTTCCGTCCCACCATCGCCCTCATTTGTGTTTATATCAGACGCGCGGCGGGGATAGGAAAAGGCAGAGCTCTGTGCCAGGCTGCTCTTTATTTCTGAAGCATGCAAATAACCAACGCAGCCCTCACTCCCTGCCCTCACTCCCTGCCCTCCAGCCGGGTCCTGAGGCTCTGGAGGCCACCGCAGGGATAAGGTCCCCTTTTCACCATGGAGAAGTGCAGGAGTACCGAGGGGATCGCGGGGGGCTGCAGGCTCCGCATAGCTTTGATGCAGCACACCTGTAGCACAGCAGCCAAAAAAAAGCTCCTGATTTAAGTCTAATCTTTAACTAAAGGCATTTCCAATTTTATTTTATGTTGGGTTTATTGCTCTCTTGCCTCGTTAATTTTTTTCCTCCTGTTAACTGCCTCCCAGCCACCTCCCTCTCTCCGGCACTCCCCGTGCATGGTAGCCCATGGCATTTTGCCCGTGTAGGTTTGCACCGGCGCTGCTTGGCCGCGCGGAGAGTTAGAGTATGGGCGGTGAGGAAGAGCAGGGGTAATGCCAGGGGTCAGGAAAGAGCAGCAAAGGGGTTTATTTGGGACTGGCAAGTCTCCGTGCAGCACCGGCAATGCGTGCTGATGGCTGAAGCTCGGTGTGTCCTGGTATGAAGTTACGGAATGGCTGAGGCAGCCGAAACGCCATCCCAGGAGCAGCTCTCGGGAGGCTGCGGAGGCTCTTTCTCATGGCTCCGTGGGTTGGAGGGTTGCAGGCATCTCAGAAACCTGGGGGGACCAGTGCATTGGTTTACATGCGATATGCCTGTGCGACCAAGCTGAGCTGGCGCGCCGAGCCTCGGGCTCCCTTCTTGCCCAGCTTCCCCCGGGCCAGGCGGCCCCTTGCAGGAGGGTGCAGGAGATAATTTTTTTTTCACCTTTATTTCACAGACCGGAGGTGGAGGCAGAGGGGGGAGAGGCGGCGCTGCCGAAGCCGTCAGTGGGTAAGAGATGGAGATGCTGGGGCCAGAGGGGCTGCACTGTGGCACTGGGATGTTCAATGGGGAGCGGGCAGAGAGGAAACAGCCTGGGTGCTGCCTGGGACCCTGCATCCTCCCCACTTCCCTGAGGGGACCTGCCTGCACCCTGCAGCCCCCCAGCCCATGCCCAGGGCTTTCTGTGGGACCTTGAGGTGCTCCGGGGACATGGGCACCGTTCCTGCATCACCCCGGCTCTGTTGGGGTGATAACAGTGAGTTTCAGTCCCTCTGGACAGTGGGCACAGGGACACGCTGTCCTTCTCCCCCTGCCCCTTTTGGGTATGGGTGGTAGGGAGGGATCCCAACATCCCCTGCAGGGATGGATGCCATCTCCCCTCCCCGTGCCACGGGAACCCCCCAGGAAGCATTTGCCACATGTGGGTTTGGGACCCCGCATGAGGACACTGTGCCACATCCCCACCAATGCTCGTCTCCCCCAGGCCACCCGTCCTGAGTCCGGGGAGCATTGCTTCACCCGTCACGGGGCAGCCCCATCCCCGTCCCATCGCTTCTCCAGCGGGGTGCGAGATGCGGCCAGGTGAGGTGTGAGGCACCGCCGGGGCTTGTCCCCAGGGAAGCCGAGCCGAAAACATCCCTCAGAGCCGGAGCCCCGACCTGCGCGATGCTGAGCCTCAAGTTACCCCGGCTGCTCAGCATCAACCAAGTGCCTAAGGTCAGAGAGGAGCTTTTCTTCCCTAAGTCCGAGGCTCGGTGGGGTTTTGGGAGGTGACAGGTGGGAGCCGTGTGCTGGGGTGGCCATCCCCCCCGGGGCAGTGCTCAGCCCCTCCCCGGGACCACCTCCCACGGGGAGGGGGGACACAGCTCTGTCCTCACAGCAGGGTCCTGGATCCTGAAACATGGGCACCCTCCTTTTGGCAACCTTCCTTCCTTCTCCTCCGATTTGTCCTTCCTTCTCCTCCGACTGCCACCAGTGCCAGTCCTTGCCTTGCAGGGGTACCAGGAGCAGGGGATCCTCTTCGGGTATCGCCCCCCCAGAAGCTCAGCAGCAGACTGCCTCCTCAGCGTCTTCCAAATGACGAATGAGACTCTAAATATCTGGACACATTTTGTGCCTGCCTGGTAGGTACCATGCTCTGGGTCCTCAGCATCCATGGGAGGAGGTGGTGGGTCTCCGCGGTGGGAGCAAGGCTAGGGGAGCAGGGATGGGGGGCACCCAAGGGTGCAATGCTCACCTTCCTCCACCCCACAGGTACTTCGTGTGGACCCTGGTCGGGCGGCTGCAGGGGCCGGGGGGCCGGGAGGACCCCCACGCCTGGCCCCTCCTCGCCTACCTGCTGACCTGCTGCATCTACCCCCTCGCCTCCAGCTGCGCCCACACCTTCAGCACCATGTCCACCCGCGCCCGGCACATCTGCTACTTCTTCGATTATGCGGCTCTCAGCATGTACAGCTTGGGTAAGGACGGGCAAGTCTGCAGAGGTTTCGGTGGGGTGCCAGTCCCCAGCACTCCCCCGGGGCAGCAGGAGCTGAAGCACAGGGAGGTGTCAGGGACGGGGCTGAACCCCGGGTGCTCAGACGGCTCGTATCCATGGGACAAGCAGAAACGGCGGCTGCTTGTGTGTAGTTTCTACTCCTCCTCCTCCCTGCAGCCTGGCGCTTGAGAGGGACCATGAAGCATCTCTGACACCGCCACAAATAATAATTTGGAGCTGGGTTTCGTACAGGGCAGCCCTGGGACAGAGGCCTGTCTGTGTTACACTCTATTTGTAGTAAATAGAATAAGGGAAAAAAACCCACATTAAAGACAAATGCTGTCAGTGAAGTCGGTGGCACCTTGCTGGGGGGCAAGCACAGGGGCAGCAGCAGCCAGGGTCTTCTCATGGCACAACGCACCTCCGGCTCCTCGTGGAAAGGTGTTTGCAGGAGCTGGCTATCAGGGCGTCTGCCTGATGCTCCCCTTAGCTACTTACCTGCTCTTCTACCTTCATTCATATCTCCCTTTCCTGAGAGCACCCAACGCCAAGTGCCAATTTGAAGGTTCACAGCTGCGCCCAGGAGGATGCTGAGGGTCCCGGAGGGACCTGGAACTAACCGGGCACCTCCTGTATTCCCAGGGTCTGCGCTGGCATACTCGGCGTACATTTTCCCAGCAGAATGGGTCAACAGCACTTTCCACCACTGCTATGTCCCCATTGCAGTGTTTAACACTGTCGTTAGCACCAGTCTGTCCTGCTATTCCAGGTAAGCTTCTGCTTTATCTGCCGTGATTGCTACATTATAATCGTTAATTAGTATTATTAATAAAGGTTTTCAATTACAGGCTGTATGGTAACAATATGAGCCTTAAGCTCAGGAAGGGGAAGAAGGGGACTTCTGGTTTGGGAAACATGTTGCATGTTGGCACTAGGAGAGTTTGATGATCAAAAATGCAAAACAATTGAAGTAGCTTTAATTTTTGGAAGTTCAAAAGGTAATTTCGTATGGCGCATGCCTGGGAGGAAGATACCCACCTCCAGCGCCTTGTTTGGGCTGTTGTTTTTCTAACATAACCTGCAAAAAGTGTGGGGGGGGCTCCTGTGCACCCAACATTTAAGCGTTTCTGTAACCTAAACATTAATGTGTTTAGGTTTAAACATGAGCATGGTCCTGCCAAAGGCACGTATCAGCCTAAGTGCTGTGTGTGCGCGCGCGTGTGTGTTTATATGTGTGTGCAACAGATTTGCAGAGGAGGAACCTCAGCATTCTCGCAGCTGATTGCATCATTTTTAAAGCATGAGCAGCATTGCGTGCGTGGTATTTTGTTCCTGAATGGCATTAGACAATTTGTTTGGAATAACTCAAATGTCTAAACTACTCGGCTGATTTCCAGCGATTCATGCCGTGCTAGAAGTCTAGCTGGTTTGGTTTTTATTTAATTCATGGTAGATACCTCCCTGAAGGCTGTGTTTGTAAAGCACTCGTGTCTGTCACTGCGACAACATGCAGTTTGCTTTGCAAAATGTACAATTCCTGTTTTCATGAGTGCTGTGAATTGTTTGGCATTATTCCTTCCTTGTATTTTGGGGTGTCTTTCTTTGTATTTTGGGGTGTCTTTGACATGTGGTCGCCTGTCGCAGCATCACGTAACCCCGGGGGACCTTTTCTCCCCGGCTGCCGTGGCCGGGGCAGCCCCCCCAAGACGCCCCCAGCACAGGGCTGTGTTTCGATGCTGCTGCCTAGGCAGGGAGAAAGATGCTCCCACGCTCTGGCAAACACAGCAGGAAGAACTCACGCTGCCCGGCTGGCTCTGCTGCAAGAGAGGGTCTGCTGCAGGGTGGGATGCAGCTGAGCATTGCCGTGTCTTCCCGAGAGGGAGTGCTAAGCTCTCGCTATTCCTTACGGATCCTGCAAATTTGGCTTGTTTAAGTGTCTGTTGAGTACGGGAGTATTTACTCGCCTTTTGGCCTGTGGGTTACTCACTGGAGTAACTCCCTGGGGTGGAAGATTTGGACCTATCCTTGGTATTACTGAGCAGTACTGCAAACTCAAGGATCTCTCTTGGATCACTCAGTGGCTGATGCCAGTTGGGGCTTGGTATTTTTTCCTTATATTCCTCATTTCTTTCTCTTTCTTTTTGTCTCTTTTCCCCCTCTTATTTTTGTCTTGTGCGTCTCTTTATTGTCTTGTTAGATGGGCTTAGCAAACGAAGCTCACTGACCGTGTGCTAATCCTAGTACTTACCACTTGAAGATAACACTTAGGAAATATCAGCAACTTGAGCTCCAGATTAATTTGGATTGTTTAAAAAAATTCTTGATCTGCAAATTTAATTGTCAGCATCTCTCTACTACAAAACTGTAAGTATAGTTATGTGAAAAACATGCAACTATTGCTATGTGATAGAATAGCAATTCCTATTGTCTCAGTAATTTCCATTAGAGAAGTAGTAAATCCATCAAATGTCAGCTTAAAAATAAAAAAAAACCATTAATTTGGATTGTTTAAAAAAATTCTTGATCTGCAAATTTAATTGTCAGCATCTCTCTACTACAAAACTGTAAGTATAGTTATGTGAAAAACATGCAACTATTGCTATGTGATAGAATAGCAATTCCTATTGTCTCAGTAATTTCCATTAGAGAAGTAGTAAATCCATCAAATGTCAGCTTAAAAATAAAAAAAAAAACAACAAAAGATCCCTGGGTGAGCAGGAATACTGAATATACCATACCTGTGTGGGCCAGCAATGCTGCTGGTTTACCCCCATGGTGGTGACAGCGGAGCCCCCGTAATTCAGCACTGCACCCCGCGCACTCCAGGTCACGTCTGGGGACCGCGTTAGCCACGGGGCTGCCAGCATCCCCGCGGCGGCCGCTCTCACCCCATGCCCCTCTGCACGCCCCACGCGTGTGAGCATCTCAGCTGCGTGTGTGACCCCCAGCCGTGCCCCCGGCCGCCCGCCTCTCTCCTTTCTCTCCTCTCGCAGGTTGAGGCTGGTGGGGCTGCAGAGGACAAGGGTGCATGCTTTTGCGCCTGCCTCTGCCACGGTACTTTCCTAGTTTGCATGAGTGGCTTGTGCCGGGCTTGCACCCCGGGGTGCCTGAGCCACGGCCGGCGGGGCGGGTTTGGGGGGGCGGTGGGGCTGGCTGCCCCCGAGACCCCCACGAGGCCGCTGGCGCCTGAGCCACCCCGTTTCCTACCACGGGGCGCTGCTCACCGATTGCATTCGCTTCAGCGTCACCCTCGGCTGAGTCACACCAGCCAAAACGTCCCTCTGAGGTGGAGGGTGGGTGGACGGGAGCAGACCCGAAACCGAATTGTGCAATGGGCGCTGATGCTACCGAGCCAGGCGCGCTCAGAGGGGACCTCCCTGGGCACTCCAGCTCCTGCCCGGCTCGCAGAGGGCTCAGCAGCAGCACAGCAATGCTGTCTGGGCTGCTCCGCCAACCGCACCCTGGGCAGGGCTGTCTCGAGGAGCCAGAAGGGTCCATGGCTGCTGGGAGGGTCCGTGGCTGCCGGCGGCTCCGGGCACACGTGGCACTGCCAGGGAGTGGGGTCACTCGAGGAGAGAGAGGCGAGCAGCACGCCTGGCCGTTTTGGAGAGGTTCAGACGTGGGAAGGGCTCCTGACCCCGGCTGAGTTTCTGCACCGTGGCCGAACGCAGCGGCAGAGTACGCTCAGCCTTTGGCACGCACCCCGTGAAGGTTGATGGAAATTTTCCTGCTGCACCAAATTTCATCAACTTACCAGGAAAATTTTCCAATCCTAGATGGCTGGTTGATGAGTCAACAGTAAGAATTTTTGCTTGGTTGGTTTTTGCATCCTGTGCCCTAGGAACACTGAATTTCCAAACAGGGAAACGTGCAGATGGACTGAAATAAGTGTGTTTATCCTTTACGTGACGCTAGATACTCCTGCCACATTGAAATAGAGGGCGTCCGACTGCGTCACCCCCCAGTGCAGGATGAGCAGCTGCATAAAAGGTTTCTTTCATGCTGGAGGATTTGGCATCTCCTTGCGGACATCCCCATGAAAGCAGAAAAACCTGTATGGGCTTTTCACGAGGAGAACAGAGTACGCTTGAACTCTGCTACATCTCATGCCATCCTCTGTGAATAGGGCACTGTCCCAGGGGTTACCGTGCACTTGGCCGTGCGCCCAGGCTGTGGTATGGTGGCTCTATTTTGGCAACAGAGGAGCACAGGTTGGATCAGTACGTGGCCGAAGGAGTGGGAAGATGTGTGGCAAGGGTGAGCGCAGCACCGTGCAGCAGTGGGTGAGCAGGATGGGAGTACAGCACCGGGCAGGTGAAACCACGGTAGGAAGACACAGCAGGAATCATGCAGAAACACCGGAGAAAACAGAGCAGGAAGCATTTTCAGCATCGTCGTGATGTCTTCTGAGCAAGCCACAAGCCATGGTAGAAGGCCAAACCGAGGAGGAGCGAGACGAAAGCCCTTATGCAGTTAGTGGCTCTTGAGCATAAGTCGAATTGTTGGGGTTTCAACCCATAATTTGGGTCATACTGATAGAGCCCTTCTGCTTTGCAGGCAGGTCTGTTGTAGTTCTGCTCAAGTAAATCTCCCTGTTTCCACATTGGGCTAAAACCCTGTAAAAGCCTGTCTTCCCCAGCAGGGAGGCATCGGAGAGAGAGGTTTTCCGTTCCCGGTCTGGAGCTCCTGTGGCTCCAGCGGGAGGGCAGGGTGATGGGCTGGCTGCTGGAGCCTTCCCCATTGTAGGGAGCATCCTGACACCTGCCCTGCTGCCCCCCAACTGCCCCCACGGCCGGAGGGGCGGGAGGAGACATGGGGTGCCTCGGGCGTGCCGTCTCGCCGTGGGCAGGTGGAGATGCTCCATGGAGTAGGCTGGCCGGCGGCCGTGCCAGCGCGTGGTGCGGCTCCCCTGGGCTTTCCGTCTCCAGGTTTCGTTTGAGTTGTGTTCCCCTTGCGGCAAGAGCAGGCTGGGGGCTCGGCACGTGGCTTGTGACCCAGCTCCAGGTTTTATAATGGTTTTTTTGGGACCTGGGTGGTCAATTCTTTCATGATTTCAGCTATGAAGTATGTCCTACATTTCAGCAGCGCGATTTCCTGGGGAACAAAATGCAGAATATTACTCCCCATACAGACATAGGCTTTCCTCCTCATATATAGTATGAGTATAACCAGCAGGCTGCTTCTTCCATTATAACGGTGATGTCATGAAAAAGTAACTTGTTAAATTAATTTACTTTGTGTTTTCAGTAACTGTCTCCATGCATTCTCTGAAATGACAATTGCAAAATCTTGGCAGGATGCTGCAACATTTCATGCATTTCAGACATAAGCTGCAATACAGCTTAATTAACAGTGACAATCACAGCCTGAATGCTGCATGACCTACAAAGCCTTCCAAACCAAGGCAGATGTATTCTTCTTGATTGCTGTGCTCAGAAAGCTTGGATTCAAAACCGAGAGTGAAAACTCGAAAACAACTGCAGGGGCAGCAGCTGTTTAAAGACCAGCTCTGTTCCTAGCTGCTGATGGGTAACGGTTAATGAGCAATGGTGAATGAAGCAAAATCAGCCACGCCAGGATGGTGTAAAAAAGGTTGTTTTCAGAGCTGCAGAGATGCACCTGTGAGGGCCAGAGCATGTAACAGGGGAGGGTGGCCCCTAAATCCTTCCTCCCCCAGCTCAGGGTTCAGCCAGGGAAGGTTCAGTCACATGAGCCGAGGGTGGTCGCAGCTGTAATACTCTCAGTGCACAAAAAATCACGTTGCTGTGGCTGAATTCACGGCCGTCCGTGGGGAAATGTATGTGCAGTCTATATACTGCAGGGCACGGTCCCCAGCAAACGACTGACAAACAGAATCCAGCGCTTACGTTAGCCTATTCTGCCGTGCTGTGCCATGTGAAATACCTGCTCTGTTTTCCTCTAGGTTTCTGGAGGTGGAGCAGCCCAGGTTCAGCAAGGCTTCCCGCACGCTGGCCTTTGTGTACCCGTACCTCTTCGACAGCATCCCTCTCTTCTACAGGGTACGTCTCCCACGGCCCATATTCACAGCACCAAGACATTTGCTTGCTGCAGGGTTGGAAATACAGCTGCTTCATCCTAGGGAAAATATGCCAGCCTTTTTTTTTTTTTTAAAGGAAAACAAACTCCGGCAGGAAAAGAGATTTGGTTATTTTTTCCTGCATCTATTGATAGGCAGATTCCTTCCACTTCAAAACACCGTGCTCAAACTTTGCCTGTGCTGGAAAGTTACTGCCTTTGAAAGCTGCAAGTTTTCCAGTTCCAAAACTGGAGCAGGGTGGGAATTTTGCTGCAGGGAGGTCTAAGGACAGGAGGTGCGGGGCTGGGCTTTGCATCGAATGGAGGCGACGGGTCTTGTATTGAGCCCTGGGTCCTGCACCACGTGCCCTGGTGTTGCGTGATGGGCAGCCAGAGACGATGGGGGCTCGGGGAATGGCGCTGCCTCCTTTAGAAATGTGTTGTTCCCCTCTTGCCTTGCACGGTACCCCTGCGTGGACACGTCTTTGCTGCTGCAGTTCTACCAGTGCGCGGCGGAGGGCTGCACGGAGGCTGCGATCCTGGTCCACTACAAGCACACCGTCTTTGCCTTCCTCACTTGCTTCATCTTCGCTAGCCATCTGCCAGAGAGACTTGCGCCAGGACACTTTGACTACATTGGTAAGTGCCGAAAGGGTGAGCTGGCATTGTTTTCTCATTATTTTCAGGGAGAAAGCACATTAATGCATGAGTGGCTCCCAGAGGTTATAATATATTCCCTGCTGGAAATTTGAAATGTGGTTTTACATACAAGATACAGCAGTCCTGCCTAGGTAAAGTGGGAACAGCTCCAGAAGCATGCTGTTTCCAAAATGTTTCACAGAGGGTTCCATGACTGCAAAGCACTCATTTCTCATGCAAAAAACCTCACCTGTGGCACAGCGGTGCTCCGCAGTGCCAGCTCAGGGCACTGCAGGAGCAGCCACCAAGGAGACTGGATAGCAGTCCTGGCCACATCGGGGTTTTCCCTGTTCCCCCCGCCACGCCGTGCACAGGCACGGTGCTCCTTAGCACGTCGTGTGTGCTAAGGATCGCAGCAGCGAGCTGCGCATCCCTCGCTTCCATTACAGCCAGCTGCGTTTTGGAAAGGAAGATCTCTGTGCTCTGGTGGCGCAACGATAAAAGCCACAGAAATTAGTAGAATAAATATTTTAAAATGTGATGCCCAGAGGCAATGGATGCTATGCAGAAGGCCTGCTGAGCCCTCACGGCGGTGTTTTAATGAAGCCCAAGTTGTTTCTGGGTGAGTGCTTTTGGCTTTGTTGCAGGGCACAGCCACCAAGTTTTCCATGTGTGTGGGATCATCAGCACGCACTTCCAGATGGAGGCCATCATGATGGACATGGCCGAGCGCCACGACCGGCTCCTGCCCACCTCGCTGCTCCCCTCCTCCCTGCAGACTCTCGGGTCGATGGGCATCTGCATGGCCGTGAGCCTGGCTGTCATCGGGCTCTGCTCGATGTCCCTGCGCTTCATGCCAGAGCCTCTGCAGAGAGAAAAACCACACGGGCGTTAGCCTTTGGGTCAAGATAGTATTTATGCTGCTCCACGGGACAGACCCTAAACAATACGTGTATGGTATGGATGAGGAGGATATTCGCCTACGCTCTCTGAGAAAATGTTTATTTAAAATTTTCTCAAGAGCGAAACATATTGCACTGGTTTTTGTACATATAGCTTTAAAGCTGCGAACAGATTATGAAATGTTTTTAATCAAGTTGTTATTTCACCACAAGAAATATTTAAAATAATCTTAACTTTTTCTGTAAAAGGGAGATAAGTGCTAATACTTTCCAAAGCAATAGGCATTCATCAGGTCTGCCTTATGGGGGAATCAGGGAGGCAAGTGAACGTGGATAACGCTGGTCATCTGGTGACACAGATGTCCTTGTCATCAGTTTAGACCGATAGCCAAGACTCCTTGGCAAAGGCACGAGCAAGGGCTCTCCCAGGGGCTCCCTAACTAAGGTTTTCACCTTGAAAGAGGCATTATTTTGGAGATTAAAACCTCAAATATCCGTGTTACACAGCCTTACTCTAAACCCAAGTGCCTGACAGATGTGGGATTGAGAGAGACTAGAGTTTGCCTACAGTTTAAATTCAGCTATTTTTTAATCATAACCCGGAAAGAGTTATTCTAGAAGAACACTCCATGGGACGTTCCTCCAGAATATCCTTTTTTTGGGTCCAATTCCGGTGCGTAGGTAAGTCCTGGAAAATTAATTCCCATGGGAGACCCGAGCTCCCGCCGGCGGGGACCATGCGACTGCCTGGCGGCTGACACAGCCCCAAGCGCAGAGCACGGGGGGCACCGTCCCTCCCTCCTTGCACCAGACACCTCCGTCCCGCACTCGCAGCTGGGCGCCTTCTCCAACCTCATTTGTGGCATCAAACGTAAACAGAGGAAGAAATACCTGCACCCGCGAGGTGACGACATGGACTTCTTTACAAGCACTGTTTTGTGCCGAGTGTTTAACCCGTGCGTGAAGCTGTGCTATTCAGAAAAGGCATTTGACGCCTTGTTGAGGGCGATGGCTGAGAAATTCATGACTGCCACCTCGAGGCATCCTCTCCCGGGTGTTTCTGGAGGCAGGACACTGGGCTAGACGGACCCTTGGTCTGAGGGTGTGACTGATGGTAGAGCCATCACCTCTGAAGCTCTCTAATTTCTGGTCCTGCTGGCGCAGAAGAACGTTTTTCTTTTCACGAGTGAATAGGATGGGGGTGTCTGGGGAGAATAAAACATCAGCTGAGCAAGAAGGGGGAGTCTGTACAGCGTAGAGACATGAGCATTGTCGGATGAAAGGCAGGAGTTAGAACAGCTCAGCTGGCAACACACGGGGGGGGTCAAAACCTGTAATTTTAACGCATTTCCAGAGTGAGACCTCTGCTCACCCAGCAATAGCCTTATGCTCAGGCTGTCGCTCCTTGCTTTCCTTTGCTGCTGCGTCTGGATTTTACAGGCAGAAGCAGAGAGCTCTGGAGAGAGCCTGGAGGGCTCAGCCTGGTCCGGGGCGAGGGGGAGGCAGCCCGTGGGGAGAGCTCGGCTGGTGGCTCCAGCGACGGAGTTTCTCACGTTGGATTTACTTAGCACCGCACAGGAGGTACAGGAACATGTGATGCAAAGATTACTGCTAGGGAATATTATCAAGCTTCTTGATAATCATACGGGTGTATAGTTTGTTTTGTGTATAATTACCTCTATCAAGGTATAATTGATGCACTTTTGAGTGACAATACAACAGCTCGTTAAATATATTATGGGACAAATAAGTCTTTTGAAAAATAGCTTTCTTTTGAAAGCTGACCAAGATTTATATTAATATTTATAAGCACTGGAACATAATTGTTTATTCAACAGTTTTATTTCATTAAAAGAGAAAACTAATATAACTATCGCACTGATATATGCTAACCTGAGTTGTATAGTCTCGTAAAAATACCATCTGTGAAAATTCATCACTTCAGAGGTAATTGCTGATAACTGCAAAGCTTATTTACCTTCTGTGGCTGGAAAGGAATCTGGCTCTGCGTGCAAGACATGACTTAAGAGTCTGTAAAATTTACATGAATCATTATAACTTTTTTCTTGGTTGTTTAACTTTTGAATTTGGGAAGTCCTCTCGTCCTCTTCAGGTGAATTTTTTTGTAGGAAAATGACATTAAAAGTATAACACCGTATTATACATTACCATAATCCCTCTGGATCCTGCAGCGCTTTGCATGGACCCTTTGTCTGGTGCATACTTTACATACCAAACGAGCGAATGTTTGATCTTGAAGCAGCACAGGTCAGCCAGATTTCTTGTTCCGTTGGAGACAGGCCTTCAAAAAGCTATTCAATGTACTAAATTTTATTCACATAAAGAAATAAAAACTCTGTGCCCAATTGTTATGAGTAAATAATACAGAATATTTATTTGTTGGAACATGTTGTTTCGTTGTGCGTCTGCGCCCAGTGCAGAGCAAATCCCAAACAAAACTATGAACTTTACGACCGTATCCCAGAGAACATCGCTCATCTGCTCTTCAGCCAAGCAGATTTTACTGCGCTGATGAGCTACGCAGGAGTTCCTTTGGGTTAAGGTAAAAGGTGAATCTGAATATTCCCGAGTAACGCTTAATCCAAAAGACGTATGTCTTTTTCCAGAAGAGTATAACGCACAGCGTGGATTTAAATGAGCTGGAATGAGGGTATGAACGTGATTGCGGCAGGAGTTGGGACTGTCTTCTGGAGAAACTCCCCGGGTGAGGCAGGCGTTGTCGGCGGGCTTGCTGTACCTCCAGCCTTGGGAAAGGCGTCTGGTGTGCGAATCGTTAGGTGGTTTGTTAAACCGCCCTTCCTCCTGCGACGATACTGAATTACGCTCTCATCCATCCTGCGTGTATCATTTTCCAGGTGGATATCGGTATGCTGGGTTTAATTTATTAAGTCCTAAGCGGTCTGGGAACCACGGGAAGCAAGACGCTGCCACAGCAGTCAGCAGAAGCGTGAGCAGAGTTTTTTGGCGCTTTTATCCGTTAGTGCCCAGGGCTTTGGGAAATCAGTCTGGTTTTTAGGGTGGCGGCCCCATCTTACCAGTTTTAGAGGGCAGGGCAAGAACGGTCCTGGCTTGCAAGGCGCCCCGTGACGGTGGGACTGCACGCGGGGCTCTGGTTCTGCTCCTGGGGAGGTCAGTTCACTTTTGACTGCTTGTATCCTTGATGTGTGTTATGAGAACATATAGAAATGCGTCTGTTTCAATATATTTTAAAACACTGTTTAAGAAGTGCAGGTTGGCCCAGGACAGTGGCTTGTTCTGATAGTGGTCACAGTAAAAAAGGAAAGACAGCTTATTGGGACTTCTTTGCACTTCTTTTTTCTTTTTTTCCCCTTAAGGGGGTAACTAATGATGTAGTTAAATTGCACTAAAATAAGAATTGACTGGAGTCAGTGATTTAAGCGAGACTGAGTTCAACCCACTGGAGGCCTTTAGAGCTGCTACCCAGCGTTAAAACCCAGGTTACTCCATCCTTTACCCCCGTTTCCCCATTTGAATCAGAAGTGCGTTTCCTTCACAGGAAGGTCTTTCAATGGACTTGTTTGGCCGGGCTTTTTATGCGTGTCTTAACTTCACACTTTAGGCTTTGTTTTCCACCGTTAAGCATTTCCTACAGGCTAGGAATTAACTAATTTACCTCCAGGCAGGTCGCGGCTCAGCCACGGGGAGGCCCTGGCACGGAGAACTTGCTGGATTACACCTCTCCTCCTGAGCCCCAACCTTTACTTGAACTGAGCAGATAAAACGGGCTAATACAAGACAAGACACAGCCCGGGCAGCCTCCCGGGGAGAGGCGCCCACGGCCTAGCCTGAAGCCCAGGCCCTGAACTGCAGCGAGTCGGCTGGTGGAACAGCAGCCCCGCGGTGGGAAGGCGGGGTGCGCAGGGGCGGCTTCCCGCTCCCCCGCTGGGTGCCCCCCGCCTGCGGGACACCCAGAGCCCTCCGCACGGCGGCTTCGGCCCTTTCCCCGAGGCAGGGCCTGGCTCCGGCCTCCAGGCCCAGCTCTGCGCCCAC